AGAAGAGGAACAGAAACGTTATCTTCGTCAACTTATTGTAAATTTCCACCGATATAATCCCGCGCGTATAATAATGGAAATATTAAGAGTAACTTGTAAGCGCTGTAACATGTGTACGTACAAATCCACATATCCTGATATCCACATGTTTGCACAAAGCATATGGCATGTGGCATATGGCATGCGGCATATATCCTCGCTGTGCCTTTAGCAATCGAGGCAGGAGAAGTGCCTTGTGAAAACTTCAAAACTGCCACTGACATAAAAAAATTTCTTATTGCCTTTTGTTTTTGTTGTATTCCGAATGGAAACTGAAGCTGAATTTAAACGAACAAACATATTTGTTATATGAAAATAGTTGTTTCGCCTGTTGTTATCCTTTGGTGCTTATGGTTGAAAAATGTTTACTCATGTTGGTAGGCTTACCATGGATTGGTGGTGTTACTCGTTCTCGCAGTTGGAGTGGTGTATGTGAGCTTTAGCCAAAACTTAAACAAAACTTATGGTTTTGCATTAAGTGTCGCCCGACTTAAGGCGTAAGTTGTTGGTAGCAAATTTTATCCCTCTTAAATTTTTCCTCTTCCTGCAGTTGCACACTTCACTACCGAAAATATTAGGTTTATCCATTGTTTTGTTTCCTATTAGAAGTTTTCGCAGTTCCACTTTTCAAGACGTGCTGAGATCAAATAAATTGTCTTGTGTGGTTGCACTGTGGCTTAATATATCAAGTTACTGGGATTTACAGGATGCTTAAAAAAGAATTAGACAGAAAATTATTTTTCTATTGTTAGTAGTTGTGAGTTGTTAGAGGAAAGGAAATATCAATACAAGTATGTGAGATATTTTTGAAAAAAATGTATTCGGTTTTCTAAGTGAATTTATTTTATAGAATAAACAAAAAAATTTTCATAAAATTAATGAAAATCGTTATAAAATTTTCTTCAGTATATCTTTTAACAGTAAATTTATTCTAATGAAACACTTATTTCAGAAAATATTTCTGTAGTAGTTTTCTGGAAGATCTGCATAATACACCTTTACAGCAGATTATGTATCTTCTGTTAAAGAATTTTTGGAAGTACTTGAACACAGGAAAGCTAATTCTAAGTAGTTAACATTCTTGTTATTGCAACAATTTGTTCATTAACTCATAATTTAAAATAATTTTTATTTATATAATTTTATTATATTTTTTTTTTCTGTAATCCAGTTCCTATAATAATTTTTATTAACAAAGCTATTAAGAAAAAAAGTTTGTAAAAATAAAAAAATATTTTACAACATATTTATTTGTATATTTAAATAAATTTAATAATTTTTAATATCTGCAGGAAGGTGAATTTTTGCATGATGATTTGTTGATTATCACTCCAGAAAAAGGTGATGATAGTTGAAGGATTGTTAACTCATTGTTTCAGTCTTATATGAGAGTCTTATATTAGAAAAAGTCTCTACGTAAGAAGGACTTACGTAGGACTTATTGTGAGGATTGGTCACAGTTGTCTTGGGGTGTTTACAATTTTTTTTCGTATTTCATTATTAAAAATTCGTATATTATTCAAAAGATCGCTTTTGAATACGAACCGGCGTATACGTAGAATATGGTCGCTCGACGTTATAATTAATCAGTAATTTTACGAAAGATGCAACATTTATTCTGTAATAACTTTGTTTAAGCGGCGCAAATGGAAATGGATTGGCCGCACACTACGTAAGAATCAGTCAGAAATCTGCCGCTAAGTTCTCAAGGACGTAGAAAGCCTAGTCATTCAAAAGCCAACTGAAAGCGAACACTTTTGAAAGAAATTGAAATAATCGCGATATTGAATAGGACCAAGTATCCTACCTTGCGGTACTCTACCACTAATTATTTGCATTACTGTTATGTCCTCTTTAAATTTCTTACAAAAATATCTGTTTTTTTTTGTATAATATTTAATAAATAGTACTAGTTCATTTGTAGTGCGTTTGCAGTTTATATCAGAGTTTATTAGGTCTCACGCTATCAAAAGTTTTAGAAATATTTAAATAGATCATAACAGCCAAATTTTTTGTTGTACTTCTATATAGAGATTTTATTTACTCGTCTTTGCATTCTGTTGAATTGCAGAATTTTGTTTTCTGAATCCAAACTGTTGGTTAGAGATAATATTGAATTGTCAAAAGATTCAATGTAAACGAATAAAAAAGGTTTTTTTAAAAAGTTTAAAGAGTCAAGGTAGCAAGCTCATTGGTCTATATGAGTATGGTATATATATGAGTTTAAACTTTTGTTTGGCTTAGGTATTGGAATAATTTTTGCTACTTTCTAAAGCTTCTAATATTTAAGTTCAAATACGCTATTGAACAAATTTCATTTATGCGTGGAGCCTTTTAGAGTTATTTTATATAGTAGTTTGTCCGTAATTCCATCAAATCTCAATGATTTTCCAGTTTAACTTTGATTTTTCATGAGATTTTAATCTTCAGATGTTTTGCCTTGTTTTCACTATGTCATTTTAAGTGGCAATGTTAATTGACTAGTGTGTCAAATGCCTTTTCACTACATAGAATAGAATAAAAATGCGAATATGTCTTCATATGACTACCCGTTTTCATTATATTGACAATATGTATTTGACATTGAAAATGACGTAGTGAAAACGAGGCATTTGAAACGTAAAACACTACTGTAAGATTGTATTTCTATGATTGACTTCAGGATACGGGCATTTCTGTTTTAAACTCATACATGGGTAGATAATGTTGATCAAATTAATAGATGTAATATTATACAGTATTGCTCTCCTTTTTTCATTCATAATTTATGAATCATATTTCTTCTTTCCAAAACGTAAGCAATACTGTATATTTAATTACTAATATCAGTTAGTTGACATTAATTTTAAATGTATTTCATATGGTATATAAATAAAAACTAATTTTAGAGATATTTTCGTTCAAAGAAAAAATATTTTTTATATATGTAATCCCAAAAGGGAATAAAAAGCTTCATTAGAGCAAAGAATTATTAAGAATGTATGCATTTCCGTTTATGTATATTCGTACGATTTGTCAGGAGAGATATTACATTTATTTATGTATCTAAGCATGTGCATCGTAAAATTTGTTACAAGTTGTGATATCCAAGCATTGAAGTTTATTTGGGTTTGAGTGTCTCTTATTTATTATCTTGTTTTGTTAGCTGACGAAATTTTTTCCCATAAAATTTGTTTACACGAACTTTTGCGAAACTCAGCAAATCTTTTGGTCTCAACTGGGATTGCATATTTGTTTTATTTCGCAATATTTTGACTTTGCGGATATTTCGTTTTATATTGATTAAATATTTCTAATATTTTTAAATCACAAATTTATCATTTTATCATATGACCAAGTAATCAGTTTTGTATGTTCCATGAAGACATAGTACAGTGAAGTTTTGCACATTAATAAAAATTGGATTATCTTGAATTTGTACAATAAAAGAATGAGAATTTAAAAAAAAAAAAGCAAAATTTTAATTTTTAATAATTTTCTTTATTATCGCCTTCAAAGTACTCTCCTCTTGCGGCAATACATGCATGCCAACGCTTAATCCAATTTTCTATACAAGTTTTATAGGCCGCTGAAGGTTTGGCCTTTAGTTCACGCAGCGAATTCCCTTTTATGGCCTTTATGGTCTGAAATCGCGTTCCTAGCAATGGCAATTTAAGTCGGGGGAAGAGGAAAAAGTCACACAGGGCCATATCTGGAGAGTACGGTGCTTGGTTAATGATATTGGTGGAGTTTTTGGCCAAAAACTGCGACACAACCAACGCTGTGTGAGCCGGTGCCGGTATCGTGGTGTAAAATCTATGAGTTTTCCTTCCAAAAATCTGGCCTCTTTTTGCGAATGGCCTTACGCAAACGACGCATAACGGCCAAATAATACTCCTTATTGACCGTTTGACCGTCTGGAAGGAATTCATAGTGCAGCACACCACGAATATCGAAGGAAACAGTCAGCACAACCTTGATTTTGGACCGGCTTTGGCATTCTCTTTTCGGTTTCGGTTTAGTTAAATGTTATCTATTATTGATAATGATAATTGAACCATTGTAAGAGAATTTCGCGCAATATGACTTGTTTTATATCAATCAAAGACATCGAAGAAACAGAAAGAATCACTGATGCATAACAAGTATTATAAAGAGTATCATTACTCATCCATTACTCATTATTAGGATTGTTCAAGCAGATACTGGACTAAGGCACTACACTAAACTAATTTTTCTGAAAACGTAGTATATAAAAAAATTGCAAACATCTCAATGTTTTTAAACATAATTTTTATATAATTGAGTAAAGCTGTTCAAATATTGATGCATCTTCAGCTGCTATATACCAAAAACTTGATCTATAGTGTTTGTATTGTATATACTATTTTAATACACATATTTATATATATACATGTGCTGTTTTCAAATTACCCAACAGAAACGATGAAAATCAATCTTTAGCTCAAGTAATAATAAAACGATCGTTTCAAACGGGGAGAGCGTGGGGTATTCAGTTTCAGTATAAATTTATCTACTTCTCAATATATTAATAGAGGGTAATTCAAATAGATTTATTAATATCTGTTTAGTCCCTTTAATTTAATTTAATTTACTTAAATGCGGTGCAGTCCTTGTATTAGAATAAATTCAGAAGATAATCCAATTTAAAATTGATTTTTTTGCAAAATTTTCAAAGACAATCGCGAAAAATTTCATTTTTCTTAAAATTCTTGTAATATATATTTCTCATCATGCTTGCCTTAGATTAATAAGATTTGAATAAAGCGACAAGTTTTAATAAAATCAGATAGATTCTACAACAGACTGTTATAATGAGAATAAGTGGTTTAACATAGACGATTGACAAAGTTCGGCATGTCCCATCGAAAATGGATGAATGATTAGACTCAATAATAATTTTAAGTTAAATTTTTAAATAAAAGATTTTTCTTATTTTTAAAATTAGTATTTACTTATGGTTTTACTTATGAGCGTGTTTTTATTAGTTGTCTTTAATACATCTCAAGCAAACTTCTTTCGTCGCAAATAGTAGAATCCACGATTTTTTTACTATGCGCCAGAAAGTTGTCTTGGAACAAATTAGAAATTCTACATTATGAAGAAATAGGTACAGTGTTAATATAATAAATAATAATATAACTGCCATCTGTTAACTACAATTCTTCGAAGCCGACAACTCCGAAGAACCATCAGGAGCTTATTTTGGATACTTCATAAATGAACATGCAACTCCCATCTGTTAACTACAATTCTTTGAAACTGCTTTCCCGATAACTCCGAAGAACCATCAGGAGCTTATATTGGATACTTCATAAATGACTTAAGCCTTCATACCCAACTCTTGAATCATATCACAAAGAATATCTCAAATATATATATCACTAAAATTTGCTCTACAAAAAAATATCTGTATCACAATTATTAGATATATCTTATAACAGGAGTTCTTACTATATACACAAGGAACAATATGCAGTGTGAGTGGAGTTTGACATACAGATTTTCAGACACTGTTCCAAGCTAACTTCTTTCGCCCGCAGTAATCGAGCTAACCAAGCATTTCACATTCACGCGGTAAGCCAGAAGGTCACTTAGGATAGAGAATGGTATTATCTTAAGAAAATAAATGTTAGAGCATTTTATGAGTACAAACTATTTTCATAGAGAGTACTTACGGGAACAAAAACATTCTAAGCAAACTTCTTTCGCTCACTCTGGAAGACTTCTTATCGTGATTCACATAGCCGACCAGAAGATCTTGAAGTTACTGAGTAACTGGGGACGCTATTTCGAAAAAAAACCGAACAATTTTTATTCATATATGAAGAAAGAAATCGTAAGCGAGAAAGAAGTACTCACAGGTCTACAATTTTTGAATAATGGGGTTTTCAATAAAATTTATATTAGAAAAAGTTTCAATGATTATTTTCTATTTTCTCCTTGTTTCCTATATTCTCTTGCTTTTCTTTAGTCTCTAATATGAAAATATGAAAAAAATTATTTGAATAAAACACAATTATTTTACTTACTGCTTTTGGGCACTTTTCCTATTGGAAGGTGACTTGGGCCTCCCTCATTAGGCACAATTACATATTTTTAATAAAGGTTATTTAATAAATTATTCGGAAGTCTTCTACTGGTCAATTGGAATTTCATCAGTTTTTTTTAATAAATTCTTCGGAAGTCTTCTAGTGGTCAATTGGATTTTGATTAGTTTTGTTTTCTTTACTTACATTTTGATCAGATCTAACTTATTCAAAAGTTCCTAACACCTTCTTGATATGGTCACGATTTTTTCGGTACTGTCACATCTAATATTCACCGACTTATTAATATATTCTTATTATTGAGACGACTCCATTTCGTCTGTTCTATTTTTGTGTATAAGTTGTCTGCATATAAAAATTTGCGGTTTTAATAAAAAGTTAAGGAAAATCATCTGAAAGAAATTATTCTTACGATTTCTAACTGGAATGTTTATAAATTCTGTAGTTAATAATTTAGAATTTTGAAGAATTGTCTCGAAAATAAAACCGAAAGTTAGACCCAGAAGTGAGAAACTCACTCCTGAAAGTTTTATTTTTAAATGAAATGTTTAATATATATTTGACATATAACTTTTCGTAAGTGTTTTTAAATTCTCAAAGTTGACTTGATTTGAAATGTTATTTATTGGATGAAACTGAATTTTGTGGATTTCGAATACAATAATTATTCAGTTATTCAGAATTATTCAGAATTATTCAGAATTTTTTATTTATTCCAACACAACTTTCTGGTTCATAGTGCGAAAAGTCATGGATTTAACTATTCTGGATGACAGAAACGTGTTTGAAACGTTCAACATGGTGTATGACTATTGTGATTTAGTGAACGTAATTATTTTACTAAAATCTTGTGATATATCTGAAGAACAAGAAATTGATATCAACTTTCATATAACATAAATTAATATAAAAATTACATATATATTTTTATAAGTTTAAACAAATTACCGAATAAACACAACTTTGGAGGAAAAACCGAACGCTTCTTCTATTCTTATTAGAAGTACTCAATTTGTATTTAAGTTGAATTTATATAAACGTTAAAATTCCTTAGAATCCCACAGGCAAATATTAACTTTAGTTAAAGTTGCCTCTAACTAAAGTTGTGAGTTTTATTAAATCAACGAGATCTATTTCTTAATTGTCCAACCTGCTGATCTCGCTGCAATAATAGCTGTTGACGTGATTTTATAACACCTCCAGTGTGTTGGATGGTGCAATTGATTCTAACATCTTGATAATTCCTTCGAATTTCTAACTTAATCAAAATTAATCACAATTTCTCTATCGCACAATTGATAATTAATTTGAAGGTATAAGTGGATCTTATTACGAGGTGAATTGATAACTACCTGTCTTCACAACAGGTAGCAACGCCAGAGAAAAATCAATTATATGTTATATATCTGGCAAGTTTTAAAGGACTTTACACTTTATAAAAGTTTCGACTTCATCAGATGCTTGGTTAGCTTTTTGCTAACAGTGGATAATTGAAACAGTGGACTTTCAGAATATCGTTCAGTAATAAAATGCCTCTATTTAAAAGGAATGAACAATTATGCAATCAAATTGGAAATGGATTCTGTTAACGGCAATCTTGCACCATCGTTAATGACAATAAAATATTGCAAAACTTGATTTGAATGTCGTAGTACAAGTGTTTTCGATGAACAGCGTCTGCGTCGTTCAAAAGAGATCACAAGTGAAGAAGGCATTGAAAAAATGCACTATATTGTGTTGGATATCAGATAGCAGAGTTAACAAACGTAATATATGAACATGTATCGAATATTTTATATAAATATTTGGGTATGAAAAAGCTTTTGGCAAGATGGGTGCGACGTTTGCTCCCATCTCGTGGACTAAAACTACAACTTTCCAATAGTTTGGAAATGATTATACACAATTTAGCTGACTGTAAGCGAATTTTCGAGTAGTGGTAATTAATGAAACATGGATCACACTTGAGGGAAAACAACAAGCCCAGGGTAGAGATAATGTGCAGAGCCTGGGTCGATCGATTAAATGAGAATCGATTGAATCAAGAAAAAACGACCACAAATTACGGTCTTTACACAGATTTTCATGGAACAGTTTTCAATTCAAACCAACACAGCTGATTCACACATCAACACAAATTTTAATTGAAATAAAATATACGAGTAAAGTCTGATAGTGACAGGGATGTTACGCTCTCTCAGATGCTCTCATTTACTTGAAAATTTGCTGGTGGAACGCACGTGTGTATACACAGAGTTACTTAAAGTTACTGGGAGTAGCTCGTGGAACAGACCTTTTTTATTTTAAATTTTGGTGATTTTCTTTGCGGAAATTTGATTTTATAGGTTGCATTCGACATTTTTCCCCTTAAATCAAATGCTTTATTTATAATTACCTCATTTAAATGAAAGATTTGTGTATGTTAAATCGCAAAACAGCCTAAATGAGAAATGGTATGGAAATATGTTATGCTGTAAGATATCCCGTGGAAGATATTTGATTGATATTTTATTTTAAATGTCATGGTAAGGTTCAGGCAGTATATTAAAATAAAAATTTGATGGAAATTTTAATCACAAGTGCATATTATTTAGGTTAACATTTGGAATAACGAAATAGATAACCCAGTAAAAACTTGATGTGTGCACAATTTTAAATCGTAAAAGGCTGTTCATTTCTTGCCTTTAAACTGTTTATTTTAATAAGATAATAGAAATTGTTTTGCCATAATCTTTTTGGAAAGTTAAATTTGCTGTATAACAGGGGCTTTTTATTGTGGAAGCCCCGCTGTTTACATTGCTGTCCTTTATTCAAACTTTATGAACCAATTCAACCAAAATCACTAACTATTGTACACAATAGCAGTGTTGCACAGCTGTTCAATTTTAGTTTATGCACACTCATAATCATAAGTATTAGCCTGGGTGTTCCGGCATACAAATTGCAATGTCATATATCATATTTCTGAAAACAGTAGAAAGCACCAGAACATTGTAAAATGGGTTGCTCTAAATATTTGTCCTAAAAATTCCTTTTATTTTGTTCAAAATAACAAATATTTGTTATTGTATTGAATTAAAAATAAAAAAGAAAATATCTCAAATTTAATAAATTAAATCGGTTTACGAAGGCGGTGGTGGCGACCGATGGACAAATTACAAGGATGTGCAATGTTCGAGGGCACAGCGAAGAAACCCAGAAATGCTTAGAATTTTTCGTTTTGAATTGTTCCCATTTTGTGGGCGTACATAAAATAAATTTCTTTACGAATTACAACTTTTTATTGCCCACATTTTTTAAATTTCAATGAATTGGTTGCGACAATGCAATGAAATATTTGCCATTTAATGTAAATATTAGCCAACATTTGTCGTCCGCAGTCAATGTCATTTGTCACCCGCGTACAATTCACACTTTCGGTCGAACTTCCATTCGTTTTCCACTGACATTTCACTCGTTGTCATTTCACTCGACAACTTTCTTTTTGATAGCGCAACATTTTTCAGTCTGCGGAAATTAAAATATAAATCAAAAATTTCGTCAAGCGTTCAAGAAAACCTCATAATTTTGAACCACATTCACTGTTGATGAGTTTGAAGAAGTTCCACAACAGTTGAAGTATTTTTTGTTTCGCTGTAAAAAACCTGGTACCACACAAAATCGGTAGAGTGTCACAAGAAACCTTGACAAATCGGTAATGCCAAAACTTTCGCAATTTTATAAATTTGGTCTTCTCTTTATTTATAAATAATATTCAAAAATTTTTAATTTATTTATAGATTTCAATTTGTTGGTTTCAATTTGTTGTTGAAATTTGATAAGCTATATTTGTACTGCTTCCCCCACAAAGCAGTACCGAGAAAAAGCATCACAGTATTAATATTACTTTGAAGTTAAAGTTCAGTTAAAAAAAGCAGTCAAATTGCTCAACAGGGTCGGAAAGATATCTTTGAAGTATTGTTCACTCTCAAAACACGGTTGTTAGGTGTGGATTTGGTATGGCAACAGCACACTTGCAATCGGCACTTAAAAATGCTGTGATTGATAGCGTTGCCAGTGGAGAAGAAAAAATTAACGGAGCTCTGATTACAATCTCAAAGGGTACAGATAACTACAAGTGCCCACATACTCGTATCTATCTGCACACGTGCCGTTAATGGTGGCTTACTCAAATCTGTGGTTAGTACATAGCACATTTACGTGGCTTCCGCAATTTTAACAAAATTATTCATTCACCATAGCAAATTTTCTTCGACGTAGAAAAATACTTTGAGGTTGAAGTGCACATGTTCTTTACTAATAAAACTAAAAAAGAGCAAAGTAAACAACATTTAAGAAATCGGTATTTTTGTGTTGTAATATCTATTGATAATTATATGCGTCGATTCGGTAAATCCTTAGTTGATCTGCTATCAAAACTTTTTATGATATTTTGATGAAAGAAGCGAGGTAATTTCGTCTAAAGTGACAATATGTAGGTATTATACAATTGAGTATTTAAATTCAACGAGGAGCTAATGTAGTTAACTCTAAGTCTTGTTTTAAATTCAGTTAAACTTACTGAAATTTGATTCTGTGGAAGCTCTTTCTTATACACAACTTCACTTTAGAATAGATCCGGTCAAAAAATGCATAAGGGACAGAGCTCGGAAGCTATATGCGAAAACCGACAGGCTGCCCTACTTAGCACCATCTAATCTCAGAGTAAGTACTAACCGGACGGAGCGATACGCAGATCTTGGATTAGTTATTGAAAAAACACGATGTTTATGAGGAATACACAAATTAGTCAGTGAGATGGGTGGGACTCTGCAGAAATCTCCCAGTTATCAGAGAGTAAAAGTGCCCAGATGCACTAACTCGGAAAAGGCTCAACATTAGATTAGTAACTTTACTTCAAATTAAAGTCATTGTCTGATTTGATCTTCTATTGAAGTTAAATGGTTTCGCAGATTTTTTTGAGTCTTTTGCAAACCTTTTTTGTAGTATCTACATATATACAACGGCTTTATATAGGCATTTTAATTGTACATCCCATTAAGATTACTAAGAAGTATTATTAATAAAAAATATATTTTGCAGTTCTTGACAACGGTATTGATAAGCTGGATTTTAATTTGAATTTCTAATTGAAAATCTCTTGACTATTGAATTTAATTATATATTTTGTCATTCAATAATTTCACCCCATAGCAAATGTTCAATGTAGTCCTAACGAAAATCAGATTATAAAATAATTATATTTCATTTAAAGTTGAAGAATTTAAATGCTAAAAAATAGGGAATTCCTGTCATTGAATATATGTACCTAAAAAAAGAAAAAAAGTGAAGCGCAATGACTGTAAACAGTCATAGCAGCAAATATTTGAAGCAGAAAAGCTGCTTAAAGTATCTTTAATTATATATAGAAGTAGATATTTTATGTTTTTAATAAAATCAAAAAAAAAAAAAAAAATTTAAATGCCAATTCATAAATTATTGTACAAAAAAGCAAACGCAAAATGGTAATATCAAAGCTTGTATATTG